TCAAGCCAATCTGCACTAGTTTGGTCAGGAGGGATTAGACCTCCCTGCATGGTCACTGGCAGGTGATTATCTCATCAAATCAGCTCTCAATTAACATAAGAAAAAGGGGACCAAGGGGGACAAACGGTCACCAATAAGGCATTGTTTGCTACATAGAGGGCGCAAGTGGCTATAAGTAGTGTAGTGGGGCTTTAAGTGTACTTCAAATAGCATTCGTTTGTACATCAAGGTTAACAAAAGAAGGCAGTTTAGGTTTTTCAATGAGTGATAAAGGGAGATGTATAGAAATGGTGGAGAGAGAAAGTAAGTGAGAGCGAGTGAGAGGGGCAAGGGAAAGAGATGGAGAGGGAGAGAGGGAGAGAGAGAAAGAAAGAGAGAGTACAATAAACAGACAGACAGATAGGCAGGGATAGGGAAAGGCAGAAAGAGATGTATAATATGTTTTGCTCTGTAAGTTAAAAAAAGGAGTCGTACAGTCTAAAATGTTTAATTATTCGATTCGTTAAAAAGGAGAATCTCTTATAGTTTGTATTTCTTTGCCTTCTTGACCTAGTAAACGCTGTGTAAGGTGGAGGGGTGAAAATCATCAAGTTTTCTTTACTAGAGTGGCTTGCATCTTAGGTGGTATCTCAAAAACTTTGGATATAGTTTTCGTCATCCCCACGCATTACCAAATGGCAACAAAACACTTTTTGTATACTTTTTTTATTCGAACTTAGACCATAACCCCCTGTAAAATCTAAGATTTTCATCAAAACGGAGTCGTCGCACGAGTGAAAACCTTTGAGTAAGTTGGAGCAAGACCTCGCACTTTAATTTATTTGTTGACATAATTAAGTAGCATTGTTTCATTGTTAAAACCACATTTAACCGTGGAAAGATACATTAAACTTGATTAAACGATCCTTTTTTTTAAGGAGGGGGGGGGGGGGGGGGGAGAAACATTAACTTATACAGAAAAGGGTGATTCGGGCCTAAATCATACTAATTTTCTTGATCGTTGTAGAATTCCACAAAATATATTGTAGATCTGTTCACCAAGTTTATTGCTGAACTTGCCTACTTTATTGTCAACAAAAGATTTCAAAGTATTTTATCCCGATCGGGTTCATGGGTAATGAGATCAACCATTCATAATGCATTTTGTGCAGCTATTTCCCTTAAGGAATACAGACCGTACATCTCTTCATATTTTCATTTGAAATTGAATAAATTCAATCGAATGAGATATATTGCACATCTGAAACGGGAAAGCTTCTTTTTTTTAAGTCTATGAAAATATGGGAAATTCTGCAGTCAGGTGTTTGGGACACAATCAAAGCTTGTAACTTTCCATGGGAAAATAATCCTGAAAACCAGAATTGTTTTTGTACTAGGAGTTAGATTAATATCACGAAATATATATCTTATTTCAAGCAATGTCTGGATTTGAGATATTACTCTTGCAGTTGAACGAAGGGGTTTGTTTGCTTATTGAAGCTTAGGAAAACAAACAAGTTATTAATTAAATCGCAAAGAATAAGGATGACTGTAACTTGTTGAATCGCGCTCGATCGGAAAATAATAGCCAGTTGTCTGCGTGGAAGATGGATTGTTCGCATTGCCAATTTGATACAATTCCACAACGTTTAGCAACAAAGTGTCGGATTTTTTAAGCACACTGCGTTTGCATGGCGCGTTAGCTGGAATTGCCTGTGCACAAAGCAAGACAAATTAATATTCATTGGCGCGGAATCTATCTGTGGGAACCGGGTCGTTTTCTCAGCGTAGGCGATGCGCTCCGCTCTCCGACACCAATCGATAACGGTACACAATAGAAAGTGTGCTGGTTGCAGAGTTAATAAAAACCCGTCCTTCGTCTAATAGTCTCCCTCACACATTAACATCCCAAACTCATTTGCAGTGAAAAACAGGGATGTGAAAAAGCCTAATGCTGTCCCAGGGGTCCACGGTTCGTTCATGAAATTCTTTGTAAATGATTTCTCAACCTATTCTCGACGTTGTTTTACACGTAGACAATGTGAAGAAAATGACGCCCGAATATAAAAATGATTTTTCAATTATGTAGCGTAAAGCCAGACATGTGTACATAAAGGTGGAGAAAATTAATCAACAAATAGGAAAGAAACATGAAAATGTGGAGCCAGACAAGAACAAAAATTAATGGAAAAGATGGTAAGTTGAAATGAAAAGGTGAAAGAAATTTAAAAGGAGGACACAAGCATCCAATGCAATCATAAGAAAACGTGTAAAACAGAAGGAACACTGTTTACACTAACACAGTCATTTTAAAGATTAATTCAGTGATTGTATTTTCATTTGCTCCCATTGTGTTGAGCTGCTTAAGTTTTCAACAGCTAAATGGAATAAAGGGACAGAAAAAATATTAAAACTAAAAATTTGAAAAAGAGGCAGACCCCAAAATCCCATCTATTGGAAGAAGATTGCAATACCAAAGTGGACATAATTTTAACGTGGCGGGAAAATAACAAGGCTAAAAAGGCAACGAAACCTCTTTCTCTCTCTCTCTCTCTCTCTCTCTCTTCTCTCTCTCTCTCCTTTTCTCTCGCTTTCTCTATGTATCAAACCCAAATATATATATAGAGGGTCATTATGTTGATGATAATGAAAAAGAAGAGAGGAAGGAGGAGAAAGACAACACAAATATTTTATCCAGAAGAGAGGCGACACGAATAAGAATTAGAATAAAAGAAAGAAGAAGAAGAAAACAAGAAAAAACGAAGAAGAAACAAAAAGGAGAAGAGAATGAACAAATGATGAGGATGATAGGTGATGATAATGAGGAAGAAGAGCAGGATCGAAAAACAAAAAATATATTTTAAGAAGAGCAAGACAAATAAAATCACGGAGAAAAAGGAAAAAAAAAGACAAAACACCCAAGATGAAATGCTACAAAGAAACGAAAAGTTCTTTTTTTTTTTAAAGATTTGATTTGATTTTTGTCAAATTTGATTAAAATCAGACCAACGCTTATTATGTATCTTCTGAATACTAATAAGCCAACAAGCCAAACCGATTCGCTTCTTAATTCCATACCTGGTAATATTTGTTTCTTATATAAGCTTATCCCAAAGATTGATATGTGTACCATTCATCAATCTGTAACTACCATGCAGAGCAAATAAAAAGTGATAATAATTCTCATCTATCACCCGCTCTTGGTCTCAATTCATCCATAGAATTGAAGCTCGTGCAATGAAAACAAATAACTTGTAGCCGCCATTGTAGCATTGTTTGCTCATTAACCGCATGGCTGAAAAACACCGGTTGTCTGTTTGGAGCAAGAAGGGAGTTTATTCATGATACTTTTATAAAAAAGTCTTAAAGAGAAGGTTGAGTTCTGGGAAGAGGTGAAAAATAATTTGTGAGCGTTATCATTCTTATTATGCAAGTGTGGAAGAACATCAGATACGACATGTTCCCTGAAAAGCATGGCTCTTCAAATGCCTTCATATTCTAAATATGTCATGTAATATCGTAAAACTCGGGGGTGGGATTTTTACGCCACGTGTTCGTGTAGTCCCATATATACATCTTTCTATGTTTGTGTTTGTAACTTTACCAAGTTTCTTGCAATACACTTGCAATACACACAAATTCTTATATGCTAGATGATCAACCTTTTCTGGTCGACTCCACACCGTTTCTTTCACAGTGCAATCGCATGACCAGAACTCAACTTCATCTTTAATTCATGATACTGTAAAAAAAAAAAAAAAGAAGGTCTTAACGCCCTTCTGTCTCTGCACAGACGGGCGTTCACTCCCTCCTCTCTCGTCTTGTAAAGTTAAACGATCATGACAAAATTACAAAGGAAACTATCCTATAAGCTCTGTTTAATTGTCTGTCAATGAAGATGGAAATAGCTATAAGTTTCAAGGCTTTTTAAGTCATTGTTTAAACTAGCAGAAAGGGGCGGGGCTTATAAGGCTAGGTACATTTTAGCGATATGTTTAAGCTCATGAGACTTCATGAAAAGTATAATCGTAAATACATTTTAAGTGTAACCAGATTTGTACATATTCAATATTCATTATTATAACTTTGTTTTAACTATAAACATAAGCATTGTCAAAAAAGGAACATATTACAAATATTTTCATTGTCTTCAGTAACGTAAAAGAAAATATGTAAAAAGTGTTTTGATCAGGGAAAACAATGAAACTTGAGAAAGAAACTTGCTTGAACGACATCAAGTTTCCATACATTGAAATAAGGGGGTTCTTTTTATTGTTCATTTGACATGTTTGAGTTTGAATTATCAGATTAAAATAAATTTTTACATGCTATACAAAACAAAATGAATTATTTAATAAGTGATACCACATTGAAAAATAACATTCTTCGTATAATCATATGTTTTGTTTTAAACAATACAACTCGCAATATAATTATATCCCTCTTCTTTATCTCTCTCTCTCTCTCTCTATTTCTCTCTCTCTCTCTCTCTCTCTCTCTTCTTGTGCGTTTTTGCCCTCCGCTCCCCTCATCCCCTATCGACATGTCAGTACGGCTCTTTTTCATAAATTTTCAGGCTCTGTCATCATCTTGGCCGTGCCAGAAACAATACCTTTCAAGCCAATAAGCTCCGCCTACTTCCGATTACCAGCCGATCTCCAGTCTTTCATTGGTTCGGCTTGTCGTAATTACCCATCGCTTGCATGCTTCTCCCGTGTCTCGCTCGCTCGAGATTGAGCGCCCGCGAGTCTTATGACGTCATTCCAAAGATCGCTCCAATCAGTGCACGTGCGAGCCAGCCTTTGAATAAACTATCAACCTCGTCTCCACGTAACCACTTTTTCCCCTCGTCCGGCCGCCTCGCTTTTCAATAACTCTCGTCTGCAATTGTCACTTTCACAAATCAACAGCCAATCAATACGTACTACTTTCACATTAGAATTCCGGAATGCATAATTATATCTGTTTTGAGAAGCATCTGAAATGATAATAAGATAAGGGTATATAAAATGCCATCGTGGTTGCGGAGCGGTATCAGTTACAAGTTCGCGCTCTATCGCATCAAGACATTGGCATAAATTTGTTCCAAAGAAGTTTTGTAGGAATTTGAGCAAGAAATGGCGATGCAAGGTAAGTACTGATCTCATTTACAAAGTCATCGTAATTAATGCGAAACTATTCTGACTTGATTTCATTTCTGGCGTTTCTGATTACAATACATCAAAGAACTACATTTAATTTTGCTTTCAAATTAGTATCTTATAATTTGTTTTTTTTTGTTGCGATATCAACGAAAGTCGATCTTCAGATTGCTTAATGACTTACATGTTTAAATAACAATTCGTTTTTTATTCAAATTTTCTTTTGTTGTAATTTTTGTTTTAGGACTCAATCAAATGGTTCTAGGTGATGACCTGTCTTTTCTGAATTATTTCTATGTATTATCGTAAATGCAAAATATGGTTTTCCTCAATAAATGTTATTTCTACATTTATTTCGTTTTTAATTGTTTCATCAATTTCCTAATATAGTATTGGAGTTATTCTTAAACTGTATTTTTTGTTTTAACCATAATAGTTCAAAAATATTCTTTTGTATTTCTACAGTTCTATAGAAAGCTAATTTCCACTTATACTCAATTCTTTCTAGGTAATTTTCAAATTATTTCGTCATCCACATCATTTGTGTAGTACCTGTACACTATTTTGAATAAAATGTTTATTTTTATCACTTTAAATATTTCTCGAACTAATTTGAAATCATGCTCCTCTTTTATATATTCAGAGTGAAATATCGACATTTATACCACCATTACTTGTAATATGTTGATATATTTTTCATGAATTTTGATTTGAAATTCTTTTGCCCAAAGTTATTATGCCATTTTCTTGTAAAATAAACTTAAATACTCAATTTATGTTGATGAAATTAATAGGACAGCGAATTATTCTTTTGTATTTCGTTAACAGTTGATGTACATTAATTTCCATTAAGCTTTACGCTTTCTCTTTTCTGATTTTTTTGTTGTTGTTGTTGTTCGTTTTTGTCTTTTTTTGATAATTTTCAAAAGAAAGATAACACATTTTGTAATTTTCGTGTATATTATGTTATTCGCTAGGTGTATTTATGATAGTAAATTGTATATGACAGGATTTTGATTATCGCTGAAAGATTATCTTCCCTGTATTGTATTATTCTTGATAGGCTGACATTTGAGAACAACTTTAGGCCTATATCAAGATGTGTGTATTATCAAATACTTCAGGGAACATTCATGAAGAAAGCTAAATAGAATGCATGCAGAAAATAATATTTTTAATATCGTGACTCAAACAGGTACCCTTCCACCTTACGGCACTTTCCTGCCAGCGGAACCTGGCCGTCTTACCGCGGAGGATCTCCGGCGTGGCATGGTCAGCATGCTGCCATGTAATTCACGGGCCTGCGATCTCACTCACCCTCTACTTTCAATACCACAAGGTTACTCCGGTAAACTATTTGGTGAGTTCGACAAAAATATAACAATTATGGTAGTAATATGAAAATCAATATGAAAATGCCCAAACTCGTGGAATTAGATCTAACGCTCATACAAATATTGGGTAAAGTTTGCCCAGATCGAGATTAATGGTGTATTCAAGCAATTATGGGCAACTTGGGCAAAAAATTGGCCAATAAGGTTCAGAATATGGAACAATTATTTCAAAATGGGCATATTATAAAAATGTTATCATCATCACTTTGGACAGACAAATGTATCACATTTATGGTAATTGTTAGTGTTAAAAAGTCAAAGAAATGTATAACTTTCCATTTTTTGTATATTTTCGGTTGCTGTATACCTTTTTGAATTATTCTTGTGAACATTTATCATAAACTATGAGAAATTCTGACAGACCATCCCATAATCGGCGTCAATGGTATTTCTGGCAACACACCAGTTGATGTAGAAATTCTGAAGTAAAAACACCAAGTTTTGTTCCCTTTTTACATTGACATTTACTCCCGTTATAGAACTTACACCGAGTTGACTCTTAAACAATAAACTGATTGTATTCAATGATTACAAATGCTCAATTCCCCGTACACAATTATTGGAAACATGTGCCCCTCTTCAATAAAAATCAACTATATGTGATATGATATAATATAATTTAATGTAAATTAATACTGACTTAAGCCGTCCACACCATCACTGGGATGTATGATGGCTTCTGTTTCATAACGGCTTGCCACGCCTTCCTGTCTTCTTTTAGCCTAGTGGCTTTAGTCAGGGAGTCAATTTGTCTTAATATATAATGTAAAATAATCATCTCCTCACTTTCATTCCGACATACCAGGCCGCCTATACGAACCAACGCCCACTCGGAGCGGCGCCATCGGTGGTAGCAAACCAAAGGTAGCTACGCCAGCCGTGGTGGAGAAGATTGAAAGCTATAAACATGAGAATCCAACCATCTTCGCTTGGGAGATCAGGGATAAACTCGTTGCAGATGGTAAAAAGAGTCTACCTACTTTTATTATTTGATTGTTCACTGCCCAATTTAGTGTCATCAAAATTATTTTTCATGATGAACAATAATTATACAAAATTACAAGGCTAATTGCTTTTTATGTTAACCCCACATTCCCATAAAATTTTGTCTGCTCCTTCCCTTTGTGGTTTTCTTGTAATCGATCTTTTTTCTGTATTATCATGTGTGTATATTTTAATGTTTTTTAATGGAAAATGAAATAAATGAAAAGAAATTTGTGGCCTTTTAAAGTTTTGTTTGATACAAATTAGTTAACTTATAAATTCTCATTTCTTATGCGGACGTCATTTTATCATTTACATACCTTAGTTGATGCACTATATGCAAGAACGGCATAGTATTAACACCGTCTATAAGTTATTCAATGTGAATATAAATAAGAATGGAGATTAAAAAAATAAATTTGCAAATTGATTTTAAGTCGATGTTTATGTTAAAGGGCCCATGAATAGTGAATAGACTTGGATATTTGAAAAAAAACATTTGTTTTGTCATGTTATAACTGTGTCTTATTGTTATCCTTCTTTTCATTTAAAGGAGTATGTACAACATCGACTGTACCAAGCGTGAGTTCAATCAACCGCATATTACGTAATCGAGCAGCAGAAAGAGCGGCGGCCGAGTACGCACGCGCAACGGAACAGGCGTATCTTCGCGCGTATCCCGAACTATGGTCTGGCTGTCACGGATCCCAGGTTAGTGACCTTTCACCTTTCAACTTTAATTAAAAAAAATATCAGCTTCCTTTCTGAAAACGCCATTTTCTGGGAGAATGTTGGTGTCCAATTGAAAAATCTTATTGTCTTTTCAATTTTATGAAAATAAGATCCAGTCCAATTCGTTTTTTTTTTTAATACACATATTTTGAGGCCTATAATAATTAAAACAGTTATATTGAGTTGAATACTTTTATCGTTTCTGATAGCAATCACAAGATCGCATTTAACGTTTCGAATTTTCAGAAAGTGCATATATATATATATATATATATATATATATATAAATTTGTATCAAATTGATATTGTTATATCGAAATTGAGCAAAAATAATGACTGCTGGAAAATAATAAGGTGTAATATTTGGCGCTTTTAAACCCTTTTGTTTAAAAATTTGAAAAGAAAAAAAGAAGAGTGAAATTATTTCTTGAAATCGATGTTATGTAATTGAGATATTCAAACCGTAAGAAGTTATCTAAACTGTTAAAGATAAACTTGAGTTCTGGTAAAAAAAAGAAAATGAATTCTCACAGAATTTAACGAAACTTACACTGAATGTTTAAGATTACAAATAAATGTCATGTGCCAAACAATTTTGAAAGAAAATGTATACTGGCTGAGTAATGAGCATAAAAAGACAAGGAAATCAGGGTAGTACTAGCCTCGACACCATGCGTGTTGTCCCATATACATCTTTCTATGTAAGTGATTGTTACTTTACCAAGACTCTGCCAAATTTATGATGATTTTGATGACTCCAGAACCTTGCATTACACACCATTACTTACATGCTATATGATCAACTTTTCTGATCCATTCCACACCTTTTCTTTCACAATGCAATCGCATTACCAGAACTCAAGTTTATCTTTAATTTTTGTCTTTCCTGCCATAGCTTTTCAACCCGTTATCTGTTGCACACGCTCTGAGACTGGATAAGATTCAGAAAACGACATCTACGTTTGAAACTAGTCATTCATCTCCAGGATTACCTCTCCAAAGGGGATGCTGCTCCGCTTCCCCTCCGATAGATACAAACTTCGGATCGACAGATGCAGGTTAGGATATAACTTTGACAAGTATTAGAAAGAGAGAAGTTTATACTTAAATTTTGTTCATATTATTTATTTGATCTTAAGTAAGTCATATAATACGTTTGATAAAGTATCTGTAGAGGGTTTGCATTTCACTTAACTGTCTTATCGTATCATATAATTATCTATGATTTCCTTCATGACAACTACGAACATGATAATGATACGAATGGAATGAAGATGGTACAGATTTTAAGCAAATAAGAAATGTTCAATAAAATGAATATTATTCAGTTACAAATATAAAGTCTACTTCAAATTCGACATTTTGAAAAACTCTACATTCAATCTATTCATCAGAATCATCATCGTCGAACACCGAATCGAGGGATGTAAGTCAGCGCGTGATCAATGATGTCAAGGTGGAAGATTCCTCATCCGACGTCGCCTTCGCTCCTCCATCTTCCTCCTCACATCTGACCTCATCGTCATCTCTAATGTCGTCATCATCGCCTTCCTCGTCGTCGTCGTTCTCGATGGATGATTTCGTCAACATGAGTCTTCTGGATTGCCATAATGCAGCAGCCGCAGCCGCAGCAAAAGAGGTAAATATTTGTGATGATGAGCGATTTTCTTTTTTATAGGGAGAAATCAACAAATCTGTTTTTTGCTGTTTACGTTAGGGATTTCATATTGACATTGAAATTAACATATTTTACTTATTGCTTTAAAAGTGATGCAAATAATGCTGTATAGCAAATTCACGACTACCTCTTTTTTCGTTAGCTTTTGAACAGTATAGATTATGGTCCATTTCAACCAGGTAGTATTCATCACATATATTGAATCACAAGTGCTTCATTGATTTCATAATTCGGACCATAAGTCAATAATTTACTTGGGGATGAATTGTAATGAACAATCACAAAACTATAGCTCTATTGTCATTTGAGAAAAAATAACTTTAAAACAAAATATCAGGGGATCCCGCCCAATTCATAATTGCAGTTGTTATCAAGGTTTGAGATTTGTAACTGTACGTTGTGAAAGATGACTCTTTTCGAGAGTACTCTTCTATATGAAGTGGGCCTATATGTAGAGAGGGAATATCAGTTACTTTAGATGTATGTTATTTTCTACAGTGATATTTGTTCATCTCTTTGTTTTTGGAGTTGTATTACTTATTCTTTTTCGATTCTTGTCAGATGTCAATGGCGGCAGCAGCGGCCTCTGCAGAACGCAAGAAACTTAGACGCAGCCGCACGACGTTTACACAAAATCAACTGGCCGTGTTGGAGAGCGATTTCGAAAAGACACACTACCCCTGCGTGAATACGAGAGAGGAGCTGGCGACCAAGACTAGCCTCTCGGAAGCCAGGGTACAGGTGAGAGCCTGTTTGGGGCTCTTTTCTTTCTTTTACCCCTCGGAAAACTTACTACTCGGTAGACCTTGATGGGGGATATAAAATTGCCTGAAATTATTAAAGACAAAATCATTTTCCTCTGTAAAGACAGATTAAAGACGGTAGTTGCTGCTGCCTTGTTTGGCGTTAAACAATAAGGGATAGAGCAACGTCGATCTGGCGCTGCTCAGTGGCTGCCGGGCTCACGATCAATTGGGCAAAAAGAATTTCCATTTTCGGTTTAACTTAATACAATTTGGAGTGGACTTCAAAGATTATTATAAAGAGATTCTGCATTTAAGAATAAGCTTAAGATATATATGGTAATCATCCTAAATACATTAATAGATAATCCTTTTTGCACAGATGGAACGCATTAACTTTTTATTTACTTCTATATATTCTACATTTCTCCATTATGAAACATGGCCGGAAATTGAATCACATTAACGAAAAACTGAATATAGCAATATACTCATTTAGTAGCAACACTTAAGAGAGTGGAATGTTTTTAACCCTTACTGTGCTTTTGCTGCAATTTCGCACAGATTACACTCAATACCATGATCAATTTAAGTGAAAATGCTGTACATGCCAATACAAATATATAAAAGAGCAACCACATCGTTTCGACACTTGCTTCTTCTTTAACCATCTAACCAAGAGCCAATTGTGGAAAATGTATACAATATGCAAATGAAGGGAGAGCAGAATCTTTGGCATACCCTGCCACGAATATTTCATTCATGATTTCATTTTTATCTTTCGTTCTTTGCAGGTTTGGTTCTCAAACCGTCGTGCAAAATGGCGTCGACACAAGAAGATGCCCTCTACGTCCATCCCTCACCAGGTCTCTCACGCGCACTTGCCTCGCATGCCTCTGTCTTCCGCCTCCACATCGATGGCAGCGGTGGGATTGCTATCCCATCCCTACTACCAATTCTACAGCGCCCTCCAACGACCAGAATCCTTCAAGCCTATCGAGCTGGGAGGCTCCAAAATGCTCAAGTCCTCTCGAGTGACGTCAGCTTTCCAACCAGTGACGTCAGACATGGTTAGGCCTTCCATGAATTCGTCTTCCTAATTCTAAAAGATCTTCCAGTTTAAGGAATTCTGTGTGGCCTTCCTTTTTGGTGTCTTAAAACGACTATACCTGAGTACATAAACCGGGAAAAAGTGCAATTAGACGTATTTCTTTTTATATCTATAAATAATTGAAATAAATAAAATGCCAAGAAGTGCCATGCTAATTTATGTTGATCTTAAAGAAACTGCACTCGTTTGATTATATATATTTTTATATACAGCTCTTAGCAAGGGGTTCTTTTCACATAGAAAGTGCAAAGATTTGGAGTTACAAAAGGAAGGTAGAAGAGATATGGCCTCGTAAAATATATGTATAGTATGCACTTTACCTCTATATTATTGTTCTAAATTCGAAGTTAGAAAGAAAATATTTGTACTAAAGAAATCGAAGAATTTGAGGTTCTCAAAGTCCTGTTCTCAAATGATCTTGTTTATAGAACATCATTCATGTCTATGTATGAATTTCCTAAGACTAGAAGCTTTAAATGTCACTTGCATCGTGGCATAAATGTGGTATAATAGTTTTTTTCTACAGCGATAGCAGCCACTTAAAAATGTAAAAGTTGTAAATAATTCAGTTACCTGACAGAGATATCTCGAATGAGCTTTAAAAAAAAAGAAAAGAAAAGGGTCTGTTTCAGGCGAGAAGGGTGTAAATAATAAATATGTAAATATTGAGTCTCGATGAGGCTAATTTGATGAACTCGTATATCTTCTATTTCACTTGTTGAGAATAATATTTCAATAAATTGCGGAATGTAAGATTATTTGATGAGCTACGTTTATTTTGTCATTTTGACACTTGAAATAAAGCATTCGTATATTATATATATATATATATATATATATATATATATATATACAAACCTTAAAGTAGGAATTAGACGGGTATGTACAGTGACAAAGAATCAGAGAAAGAGAGAAAAAAAAGGAAAATGGAGAGAAAGATGGGAGAGGCAACGTAGAGAGTATAAAAGAAAAAAGTAATTGAAAGGTTGGAACAAAAATCAAAATATGAAAACAAATCATATGATTGAAAAGAATGAACACTGTGAAAGAGATTCCAAAAGACATAAACATAGTAAGAAATATTCTTGTAATATAAAGAGGGCAGGGGTAACAGAGAGAGGAGGAGGAGAGAGAGAGGGGGGACAAGACAAGAAAGAGAGGGGCGATGAGGGAAATAGGAAACAAAATGTCTTTTCCTTGGCATAATAACAATGCACAATATCTTTTCATAGCCATTTACAGAGAGAGATGGAGAGGGAGAAGGGAGAGAGAGAGAGAGAGAGAGAGATAGAGAGAGAGAGAGAGAGAGAGGGAGGGAGAGGAGGAGAGAGAGAGAGAGAGAGAGAGAGGGGGGGGGGAGGAGAACAGGACAAGAAAGAGAGGGGAGATGGGGGAAATAGAAAAAAATCCTCTCTTTGGCATAATAACAATGAACAATATCATTTCATCTCCCTTTACAGAGAGATGGAGAAAGAGAAAGAGAGGGAGAGAGAGAGAGAGAGAGAGAGAGAGAGTGAGACTGGAAGAGAGAGAGAAAGAGAGAGAGAGTGAGACTGGAAGAGAGAGAGAGAGAGAGAGAGAAAGAGAAAGAGAGAGATATATATAGAGAGAGAGAGGGGGAGGAGAGCAGAACAGAAAAGAAAGAGAGGGTAGATGGGGGAACTTGAATCGCAATCAAACGATTCACCATTCATCATCTCACTGATCATATTATTTTCTCTTTAGAAACAACTGAACGAACAATAGAGAAAATGGACAGAGATGAAAGAGAGAAATAAGGGTTAAAAGTGAAAAAGAAATTATACCCAAATTCTTAATGAAAGGGAAAATAACAATATAATGGAATGAGGGGAGGATATTAGGAAAGAGAAAACGAATGAAAGAGGCGCGAGAGTGTGATATAAACCAGAGGGAAAAAGATATTCACATCAGTGTGTGAAGAAAGGGTAACCGTTAAAGCAAAAATCAACAGAGAGAGAGAGAGAAAGAAGGGGGGGGGGGGGGGAGAGAGTTGGCAAGGAGACGTAGACAACAACATATCCATGGTAACGTTATAGGGCTACGATCACTGCCGTCATCACAAAAATGCAGCCTGCATCATATTTCTTACTCACAAACAACCATACCAACTATAAAAGCTTTTGAATAAAATTCACGACATTTGATCCCGTCATGGTAATTAATTTCAAAGTACCTTTTATAATGGTTACCTATCAGAATCTTGCCTGTGAAAGGAATCACGAATAAAAGACCAACCGAATGAATTACAAACCAATCAATGAAAAAACGCCCTATTGTAATAGTCCCAAATCGATTGAATTTGCATGAAAATCCCTCCTACAACGCATACAAGCACCCCTTTTCTTGTCGCTTTTACCCCTAAGTAATCGAACACTTAAGTAGTGTCTACCTCTACTCAATTTGTTCAACAGTGCGCGGTAGAAACATGTACATTTCTATTCAGGGTTCAAACTATTAGTAGGACTATTCGGACATACGATATATGCTCACGGACAACGCACGTATATATTTTCTCTTTATTGCAAGTCGTGAACTATATACAAATCGAGAAGTAGTTTTCATAATTATACGATTGTGACTGCTATGATGTCAGCGTGAGAGCAGTTTGAGAGAAAATAGTGGTCACAACAAATTCAACAGGTTTCAGCAAGTTTTTAGAAACACTGACTGACAAAATGATTTCATAGCTGTGCTTCCATCAAGGTTTCCATGAGTGACCGTTCATAAACACATCTGAGGAAGAAGAATAAAAAAGTTCACCGTTCACCTTATTTTTCATCTACGAATTTTGTCTCTTTTTGATGATATGATGATATGACATGATGCGGGTCATATTCTGAGTGAATTCTCCAAAGAAGTGATCATCAATTCGACACTAGAAGATTGACATACTGATTTGTCATTATGTTTATCACAGTGAAATATGGGGGTAAGTATGTTAAGACTTATTAATTAATTAGTTAATTTATTGTTTATTATTTCATAAATAAATTAATTTATCTATTTGTCATTATCATTCTTATTATTGTTTTTATTATTATTGATGTTGTTGTCAGTATAAAATCATTCTAATCAAAGCGCCTTTCCTGAAGCATTAAAGGGTTGATTTGTTATTGTATCCACGGCTGTATTATGAAAGAAAAAAGATAATCTATTAATTTGTCTATGGAGGAATTTTACAAAACTGTATTCTTGTACACATATGCTTAATATCCTACTACATGTACTACTACTACTACTACTACTACTACTACTACTACTACTACTACTAGTCTACTACTACTACTACTACTACTACTATTACTACTTCTACTAGTCTACTACTACTGCTACTACTACTACTACTTCTACTACTACTACTACTACTCTTACTACTACTACTACCACTACTAAATGTATACTACTACTACTACTACTACTACTACTACTACTACTACTACTACTACTTCTACTACTACTACTACTACTACTACTACTACTACTACTACTACTACTACTACTACTACTACTACTAGTACTACCACTACTGCATGTACTACTACTACTACTACTTCTACTACTTCTATTCATTTGTATGTTGATTGTTACCTGTTGTCATGCACATGCGACTGAAAATTATAAGTCTTTCTCAAGTTTCTGTTCATCTTAGGTTCTTTTCATCCACGTTTTATCCTCGCTTTTCATATCAACTAAGGACTGTATAAAGAAAATGAATAAACAACTCAATCATTAAGGAAATATTCAAAGTAAAAGATTACACAGAGATTTTTTTATCTCAATGTAGGCTTCATGGTTTTATACAAAATTTGAACGTTATTAATGATTTTGCGCTCATTTAGTAAAATGCATGGCATTGGTAATATATGAAAAAGTAACGAGGATTCTTATTCATAACATTATCATCAAGTCAGAGTTATTTCTCGATAATTATATCTTGATAAAAATTCATTATTCTCTTCATTGGTCTCATTATTAGCGGACCTTTCGATAAACCTTAATGTACATACAACGGTAATGCTAAATGTCCACCATACCGTGGCTCAGAATAGTCGAACAAACATGACAAATTAAAGAAGAGGGGCAGGAAAACAAACATTGACGTACTTACTTCATATCGCATGCTAGCTTAATGTACACGGATATAACTTAATGAGAAATAGAAGCAACACGGTTTGCCGTTGGCTAGCAATCTCTAGGTATTAGGAGTCCGTGTTTACTAGTCATTCACCAGAGCTTGTTTAAGTTGGAATTATTTGTTTTCGTATTCATTACCCATTCCCTCTCCCTCTATCTCTCCCTCTCTCTCTCTCTCTCTCTCTCTCTGCCTGTCTCTTTCTTTCTCTATTTATTTCTTTCTTTTTCCTCCCCTCTTTCTCTCTCTCTCTCTCTCCATCTGTTGTTTGGTATATATATCTCTGTGTCATTATTCACCAGAGCTTTTTTAAGTTGGAATTATTTGTTTTCGTATTCATTATCCATCTCTCTCTATCCGTCTGTCTGTGTGTGTGTGTGTGTGTGTGTGTGTGTATGTGTCTCTCTCTCTGCATTTCTCTCTCTATCTCTTTCTGTCTTTCTTATCCCTCCTCTCTCTCTCTCTCTCTCTCTCCATCTGTTGTTTTGTATATACTCTGTGATATCACCTTGTACTTTTTTCGAAGCTTCAGCTCTCCTACTAGTCTCCACTTTTTGTGGGTAAATTATTTTTTATATCCCCCCTCTCTCTCTCTCTCTCTCTCTCTCTCTCTTTCTCCCTTAATTTTTTTTATCTATCTATTGCCTATATAGCTCTATCTCAATGTTCCAGTTTTCTTCCTCATCATCGGTCGGTCAAATGAAAGACTAAAAATTAAAAAGTGATAAAATAAAGCAATAAAGACAATTCACATAATTATGTCCTTTGCGTTGAGGCAAAAACCTTCAGCTTTTAAACATGCCCCCACCCTTTCTTTTAAATCTTGGTCTTCTTGGAATGCAAGCTGGGGACACTATAGCAAACGGAAGGCTATTTTTAACCGATCTTTAAGGCGATTTGTGAAAAGAGAGCACTGGTTGCAAGGTGAAACTTGTAGGTTTTCATTTCAAACTAAATAGTTTTGTATGAGGAGGGCTGGGCGAAGGATCACCTTCTAAGAGGTTGTTCTGTTTGTTCACATTATAACGAACATTCACCATATAGATCGTTATATTTGCTAACTCCATTGTGG